GTTTCATTCCTTGCAATCTTAATGGGTTTGAATTCGTAGTACACAAAGAATTGTGGGTATTTGGAGTTTTAGAAAGCTTTTTGTCTTCATGTTGCGAAATGCAAAGACTGCTCAACAACATCCTAACATGAAGTTGCCTTCCTTTGGATTACCTGTAAGTCTAGAGCTGCTTCCTGTTTCTTGGAACACCCGTCTCAAAGATGTTTTCCTGTGATCCAACACACCTGATTTAACGGAATCCCTGTGAGCTCTTACTTTAGCTGTGCAGACAGCTGATGATGGATCCATCGGTGTCAATCAGGTGTGTTGTAGCAGAGAAACATTTGAAACTTGAAGATCCTTGGTGCTCTGATCTAAGCAGGAGTAGCAATATCACATAATTAATAATATATAATTATAATACTACAGTGTTAAGCAATTTTGTCAGAATACTTCTAAAATCACAGAATGCCATTTAAGGAGCATTTCATGTTCGAAACTTATTTAAGAAAGTAAAAAATCTTTTAAGTATTTGTTTATTTTTCCAAATAATCCAACACAAAAATTCTCCTCAAACGAATAAAGCTGAAGGTATTTTAAATAAATCACAAGCTAAATGAGATGAGCTGCTATCAGAAAGCTGTCCGCACAGCTAGGAACAGATATTTAGCAAAAATAATCACCAGGCATAAAAATGACCAGAAGAAACTGTACAGTGTCCTCACCTCTGTACTGTCCCTTAGAGAGTCTCCCAACTCTTCTCCCTCTACAGGGGCTCTTTGCAATGAGTTTCAAAAAATTTCCTGCATAAAATCCAGGAAATTAGAACCAGTTTCTCTTACTCAGGCTGGGTTACCTGTGCAGAACCTCACTGTCCACCCTCATTCTCTTGCTTTGCTCATGTGACACTCTCTTCCCTGGTTGACCTAATCTCTGCTATGAAGCCCTCAGGCTCTCCAGAGGACAGCCTTCCCCCAAGACTGCTGTGCGATGTCCTTCCAGCGGTGGCCCCTGCTGTTTTGGATATTGTCAATTCCAGCTTCTCCTCTGGTGTGTTTCCAGCTGCTTTTAAAAATGCAGTTGTTCAGCCGCTACTGAAGAAACCAGGCCTTGACCAGTCTGACTGTGCCAATTATCACCCAATCTCAAAACTTCCTTTCATCTCAAAAATTATTGAGAAACTGGCTCTCATGCAGCTTACTTCTCACCTAGATGACAATGGGCTTCTTGACCCATTCCAATCAGGTTTTAGACGTAATTACGGCACAGAATCTGCACACATCAGGATACTCAATGACATCCTGATTCTACCTGACTCTGGCTCCCATGTGCTGTTACTGTTACTCGACCTGACCGCAGCATTCGACACTGTAGACCACACCATCCTACTTCACAGACTTGAATTTTGGGTGGGTGTGACCAGTACTGCCCTCGGATGGTTTAAGTCGTACCTTAATGGTCGGTGTTTTAGTGTTCATGTTGGAGACTGCTCTTCTCCCAATGACCCACCTCCATTGGGAGTACCGCTGGGCTCCATACTGGGTCCTCTCCTCTTTTCAATTTACATGCTACCACTTGGTAAGATTTTAGCGAGTCTCGGGGTTAACTACCACTTTTATGCAGATGATTGCCAGATCTACCTTCAAATCAACCAACAGCACTCATTTTCTCTAATGTCAGAATGCCTCTCCCAGGTCAGATCCTGGCTTTCTCAAAACTGCCTACGGTTAAATGACAGCAAATCAGATGCCATACTTTTTAGCCCCACTAACATGAATGGTGCGTTAGATGTCTCAACTCTCCCACTCAATCATGTGCCACTAGCCTTGGTGTGAAACTGGACTCTGACCTTTCTGTGTCTTCACAAGTCAACACTACTGTCAAGTCCTGCTGTACTGTGATAAATATCATATTGGCTTATTCTTGCCAATACACCCCTAGTGACCACTTCACCTCCGTGCAGAACAATCATGGAGGGTCCTGACCCATTTCAGCTGAGCTTCATACATCTGATCTATTTGCTCCGTAACACTAAAGAAAACAAACAAAAGCAACATAAATATTTTCTACGAGGACAGCTCCAGGCTAAAAGACTAAACAGGCTTTAGGTACCACCAGCTCATCACCTCCTTTCTGCTTGTAGCTCAGGTTTCCTCAGAGACTCACCAGCATTGGCTCACTCAGCCAAAAACAAATATGCCAGCTTATACCCGTTGAATACTAATGTGATGGTCACCCAGAAGCCTCCACCTAATGATGAATAATGCACCTGAACTTTTATGGAATAAAAGGATGCTGAAAGATGTGATTATTCTGGAATGATAAATAAATAAATACACTATCACTGAATATAAAAAAGACTAAATTAATAATTTTTGGAAATAAGATGGTAAGCAATGGGGACTTTAAATGAACAATTTCAGATACTGAAATTGAAAGAGTGTCTGAAATAAAATTTCTTGGTGTTGTGATTGACTCTAACTTATCCTGGAAGCATCATTTAAATTATATAAAAGGAAAAATTGCCAAATCTTTGGGTCTATTATATAAACTGAAGGACATACTAAACCATAAGGCCTTACGTCTAATATACTGTTCACTAATACAACCATACATGGCATATTGTATAGAAATATGGGGTTCAACTTTTAAAACCTATATACATGAAATAAAAACTATACAAAAGAAATCTATTCGAGTTATAAACAAGAGCAATTATTATGCTCATACTGACCCGTTGTTTTCAAAATCACAGATTATGAAATTAGAAGATCTATATTATTATAAAATAATGCAATTTATGTTTAGAGTGAAACTAACGGCTCTGCCAGAAAATATACTAATGTTTTTTGCAAAGAGGGAAAGTAAATATGATTTAAGAGGTGTATGTAGGTTTGTTCTACAAAGTAAGTAGGTTAGGCAATTATATAAGCTAATGCTTCTGCCTAAACCTATTCAGTCATGAGATAACAAATAGACACCATATACAAATGAATGTGTATGTTAGTGAGAAATGGTATTTGTATCTATTTGTATGTTATTGTACACATTATCTTAAGATGACTGACTGAATAAATTGATCATTCATTCATTCATTCATTCATAACAAACTTGAAAATGCTTATTTTGTTTGTTGAAACTACAGAGACTGCCTCATCGGAAGCCAGAGATCACCGCCGGCTTGTCTGCCGTCACGCTCTGCTTTTGTCCAATAAGTGTATGTTAACTGTGCCACACACACACACACACACACACACACAACTGCGGTCCACACTGAGAAGCCAATGGAGCATTGCATTTCTAACTGTGGATGTATGGTTTTAACACAGGAAGAGGCTGAAATTGCAGGGAATTAAGAGTTTTTAGGCTTATTCACACTTTCAGAATCTAAATCCTCCACCTGATTTTCCTCAAAGGCCAACATCCCCCTCTCCTGGCAGAAATCCTCAAACAGCAAGCTCCTTAATTACCAGGAAGTAACTGAAGTGACGTCGCCTTCATTTATACTTTGGAGGACATTTGTCTCAATGTTTTGGTCACATCGAGCTGATTCAGACCTGCTGAGGCCGTGATGGCCCTGTGCTGAAACCCAAGTCCCTGTTGTGTCTTTGTTACCAGGAACCAGGACAGGGTTCTTACTCTTCAGAACAAGAACACACACTTGTTCAATTATCCCTCCACCCCTCTGTGAGAATCACAGTCCTCCTCCGCTCCTCGCCCCCTGGAAATGAGCTGGTGAGACCCGGCCTGAGTTAAAGCCGTCTAATAAGAGCCGTTCTCTGAGAAAGGCCTCGTTTCTAAAGCTGAAGAACCTGCTCTGTTCAGGCAACAAAGAACTGTGACATTACTTCTATTTGTATGGAAATGTGTTAAATGGTTTTGGATATTAGGACAATAACCAGACTCAGTCTTTCCTCTGCTGTAGATCTGTGATCTGTAGGTAGAACAGCAGCCACCTGGGCATGGCTGTTCTGAGTGGTGTCCTTGTACTGACTGTACTAATACCTGCTCATGTAGCGTTTAAAAATACCACACAGGTGAAACTTACAACTAGAATCTGGTGCAAAAGTTCATTTGTGTCCGTAATTCAAGTTAACAGGTGAACCTATAAGAATTCAGCCCATGCAAAGCCAGCTGTTTCAGCCTTTATCTGTTATGTGATGATTGTGGCCTACAGCTGATGAAAACCCCACATTTTAAGGCCCTGTCCACACGTAGCCGGGGATCTGCCAAAACGTAGATATTTTTCTACGTTTTGGCCTGTCATCCACACGAAAACGGATCTTTTTAAAAACTCCGGCCAAAGTGAAGATCTGCGTTTTCTCCGTTTTGGGTGTCTGCGTGTGGACAGACAAAACCGGAGTTTTAAGATCCGCAACGTCACTTTCCGCGACAAAAAAATGCTGACATCACGTGTGCGACCTGTGTTTACACTAGCCGACAGCATGCATGCCCTCAGAGCTGCGCTCGCTTTATCAGTTGTCCAAGCGCTTTTTGCTTGTTTGTTTTTGCAAGCGGAATTACTGCTCCTTGCGGAAGACCACAGACGAAGGACGAGGTTAAGAACGGGGGAAGTACTGCCGCCTACAGGTCTGGCATGTCCTTAACAACGTATTTATCCGGGTACGTGTGGACAGAGTTTGTTTTAAAACGAGGTGGTGTGGATGCAAGTTTTTGGAGGGGCGGATATTTGTTTAAAAAAACCCGGCTACGTGTGGACTAGGCCTAAATCTCAATCAGAATATTGTGAAAAGGTTCAATATACTACACTCAAAGTGTCACACTCTAATCAGCTGATGAATCCAGAACACCTGCAGAGGGTTCCAGAGCCTTTGGATGGTCTCTCAGTCTAAACTGGATTACTGACAAATGGACTTTTGCTCCATATTCTCATTTTTCCTGCTTCACCTGTGAACCTAAAACAGAAAGAATGGCAGCAGGAACATTTCAACAGTTACCCATAAAAGCAGCAGGAGGACCCGTCTGAACCCAGTTCATGCTCACAGACAAGAGAACAGGTCGCTGTTGGATTACATCTTTTATTTTATTTTATATAGAGAACAAACTGAATATACCAAAACAGACCCAAACCATTTTAAAACATCTCTGATTTCTTAAATATTTAGTTTCTCCGGATGAAAGGAGAAGTAATATGTATTTAAAGTTCCATAAATAAAGTTTTTGACTAAAATTATGATTTTTTTTTCAGCTTTACTGAGATAAGGAGGGTAAATGTTTCAAAATCAAAGTGTTGTTGCCATCTGGTCTCCAAACGTTTTCCTGCATGACTCCTAAAATCTAAATTCAAACGGGTTACAGGCGCAAGTAAAGTCAGACAGGAAATAAGTCACCTGCAGTTTAGAACATGATCAAAGTTTCAGAGATGAGTGGGAACCTGCAGGTCCTGCCGGAAGACGACGAGCCCTCTGGAACCTTCTGGAGAACGTTTTTGATTTGTGACGCAGAGCAGCAGCCCAGTGTGGTTCTGGCTGCAGATGCTGCTGATTCCAGATGTTTAGGAGCAAACAGTGAACACTGCAGACAGTAAAGACTACATTTGGATGTGAGGGCTGAGCATCATGATGCCGTACGAGTGTGTGCATACACACGGAGTTAACTGTGGTACAGAGGCACCATCCTGTCGATGGCAGACCTGCAGATGGGACATTTCTTTGGTGCAGGAAGGCTGTGGTAGCACTGGATGCAGGCACACACGTGACCACATTCCAGAAAGACACAGGAGCGTTCCTGGCTCAAACATACAGTACAGCTGGAGGGGGACACGCTGCCCTCCTCCATCTGGAGTTCACGCATGCGCCTCCTCTGCTGCTCCTTGAACTCCTCCATCATGCTCCTCTTCTTCCTGCTCTGTCTGTGGTGCATGTAGCGCTTCCACGTGACGAAGAGGAGCGTGGAACAGGCAGCAACCCCAAACACGATGAACAGGATCCTCCAGAGCCTGACGCCGGCCAGCTGCTTCCTCAGAAGGGACTCGTAGTCCTGTCGGGTCAGGAAGTAGGAGAAGCCCTGTTTGGGAGGCTGGAGCTTCAGGAGGTTGTTATCCAGGACCAGCTCCCCCACTCCCGTCACGCTGTCACCCACCCGCAGCATCTCCTCTGATTCGTGGATGCCCTTTGGCCGCTCGCCACTGATGAAGTGACCGATGACGCTGGACAGGGACTGGATGGTGGGGTGGAAGTTCTCATAGGTGGTCTCCAGGTCCAACTCTGCAGCATCTAGTGGACGGATAACTCGAACCGTCGTGGTGAGGCGTTCATCATGAGAGCCGAGGTCAAACGGGACGGTGTTGGTGCGCTGGTGGATGACTTTCTCCGTGCTGTTCCTGTGCAGAAATGCCAGAGTTACCAAGGCAGCAGACGGTTCACACATCCAGTCATCTCTGCAGCCTTTTGACTTCACCAAGTGTGTTGAGCATCATCACAGCTCCAGCACAGCCCAACAGCAGCCTTTTCAAACCTCAGCTACAAGCTGTGCTGCTCCCAGCGGACGCTCCTGAAGCTCCATGAACTCTCACCAACAGAGACGCCAGCACCAGCTGGAGCAGATCCTTACCTGAAAGTAGCGTGCCATCCACACGCTGAAGGCTTTCAGACTCAGTTTGACTTCATGTTGCTTCCATCCATTATTCTGGTGCTGAAAGGTGGTTCCACTCTGAGAACCACAACTATGGTCTGTGTCTAACCCATCAGCTCTTGGGCGGTATTACGGTATTACCGTATACACGCGGTATTACAAAATAGCGACGGTGTCAGTTCCAATACCGTCATGAAAAACAGCTGTGCGACTGACCAGTTCCTCTATCCTCCCCATACTCCAGCTCTGCAGGGAGAGCGTGTTGGCTGTGTCAGAAAACGACCTCCAGCTTACAAAGTCAATTTAAACCACAATTCTAAAAAAGCTGGAGGCCAAGTATGAATCTGATTCAGTACGCAAATTAATGCGAAAATGCACTTTCCTCGATCCTCGTTACCGTGGCAGATATGAGCTTGATGACAACGCACTGGCTGAAATCAAAGCTGAATTACAGGCTGAGATCGTGAGCTTAGAGGGGCAAACAGCACCAGAAGCATCCGAACCATAGAGGAACGAGCACAACCTGAACCCCCACGCAAAAAGATGTCTCTGGGGGGCTCTCCTGCAAAAACGAGCCGCTGACGCTGCGCCGGAGGGTCCGTCAGCGCAGAGCAACGAGCTGGAGCTGAAATAACAGCGTACTGTTTGGAAACTGTTATTCAAGGGGATGAAAACCCTCTTCTCTGGTGGAAATATGCTGCCAGTCGTTTTCCCCAGATGTCACGACTGGCCCGGAGGTATCTATGTATTTGTGCCACCAGCTCACCATCGGAGCGGGTTTTCAGCACCGCAGGGAAAGTTGTTGGTCCACAACGTGCAAACTTGAACCCAGAAAAAGTAAACATGCTGGTTTTTCTGGCGAGAAATCTTAACTAGATTTGCTGCAACATGCCGTAATGTTCACACTCCTGTGTGTGTGTGTGTGTGTGTGTGTGCGCGCGCACGTGTGTGGCCGTGTGACGGAGTTTTCTTTTTATAATTTTAATGCAGTTGTTTTGGTTGCAATTATTTTTATAATTTCAATGTTTATGGTTATTCAACTCTTGTTGACTGTTACGGCCTATTTGCACTGTTTCATGCTGCTCGTTGATAAGTTGTTCACTTGATTTGCGCACAACAGCTGTCCTGGGTTTTTATGTTGATTTATTGCTGTTGGACTGTTGACTCTTTGCACTTTTTTTTTTCCGGAACTGCGCTGCTCTGGGTGGCTGCATGTTGGAGTAGCTCTGTTGACGATATGTAAGTTTTGCCTTTTCTTGGGCATTTTTTCTTCTAGTTCCTCAAGAAAAACTGTATTTTTTGGACACTTTACTTTTCTGTTTCTGGTGCTGTGAAGCTTGGAGGATTTTTACTGCTGTTTTTTAGCTTTTTTCACTTTTTGAGCATTTGTTATGATGCGTAACCATGGCAACAAGCTGGTTTACAATCAGGAGCAGCTGATTAACATTGGAAAGGCTGAAATAATACCTCAACTGAAGCCACAAATCCCAAATGAGCTAAAACACAAGAAGCGTGGGTGCAGAGCGGGAGCAAAACGGAGACAGAGAAAGAGGAAATTCAAACCATCTCTTCCATCGATCATAATGGGCAATGTGACATCACTGGCCAACAAGATGGAGGAACTCCAAGCCCTTTCAAGGACTCAGCCAGAGTTTCGGCAGTTTCGGAACCGCTGGAGGAGATAATGCATAGAAGGATTCTCCAGAGAATCAAGAAAATGATGGACAACCCTGAGCATTCTCTTCATAAGACTGTCCGACAACGGAAGAGTGTCTTCAGTCAGAGGCTTCTTCAGTTTGGCTGCAACACTGACCGCTACTGGAGATCCTTCCTGCCAACAGCCACTGTAATATACAACAACTCTTTGATGACTTGATTATTATTATTACTCTGAGCTATTACAGCAATCAATTTCCCTCTGGGATTAATAAAGTATTTTTGAATTGAATTGAATTATAAGCTGCGTTTTTTGTGTTAATAAATATTGTTAGTAGTATGTGAGTTGCGTTGTTATTTTTTTAGTAATTGTTTGGTATTCGGATTCAGAAAGGTGAAGGTCCACTTGAGGCTTACGTCATACTTTTTAAGTATTCACGGTAATACCGTATACCAGGATGAAATTAAGTGGAAGTTAGACGGTATTCAAATTTGGATACCGCCCAAGCCTAGCTGTTCCCAACCTTTTATTCTAGAAGCTACTAAGAGTTTATTATTACGTTTAAGGTGAGAAAGTCTCAGGTGTGTGACATTTCCTTCTATGATGCCTGACTACAACAGGAGTGTTTCTTTGACGTTGGGCGAGCTCTCGTCACAGAAGAGGATTTTGAAGTCTTTTATGAAGGAAATGCACATGTCCAAAAAGCTGCGATTCAGTAGAAGAATGTGTGAACGTCAGCGAATCTGGAGTTAGAATCGATGCATAAAGATGCTTTTCTTCACTGACTAGGTGATTAAATCTCAGGTATGCAGAGCTGAGTGAACGGAGACGCCGCGTCTGTCTGCTGGAGCTGATTCACCACAGAAAACTTCACGATTAAGATTATTTTGGTGGATATTGATCCCGTCTGGATCACCTTCTTCAGCTCCAGCGGACTGGACCTCCTCAGGATCACGGTCAGAGACCTGGGTGTAGGTGATTCTGGTACTTTTGCCACCTGGCTGTGGCTATGAGGGCCCTCTGTAGATCAGGTCGAGGATGAAGTTATGAGTCTTCTACATTTTTTTTTAGATTTTAGTGACTTTTACATGGTCATTGTGGCTTTTCCCTTGTTTATGTTTTTAATTAAACAGGTTACCGTATTTTCCGGACTATAAGCCACTACTTTTTCCCACGCTTTGAACCATGCGGCTTATAATGAGGTGCGGCTTTAGTCAACCAGAAAGGATGGATGCTGGAAAGTCTAATGAAGGAGTGGTAAAAGGAGCGCTACAGAAAGCGCCCAGGAGGAGTTTTTTCACAGTAAAACGGTGCTGCTTGTTTTCCCAGCTTCACCGCGGGATGACGACAGCGATACGGACATCGCCACAGAAAAGGTATGTGACGAAGCTCTTCTGAGGCTGTTCAACTCCGACACTGAAGAAGATGATTTCAGTGGTTTCAGTGCGCAGGAGGAGGATGAATAAACTAATCAATAACTTTTCTGTTTTGTTTGATACTGATCAGTTCAGTTACATTCAATTCAAGTTTATTTATAAAGCGCCAAATCACGACAAGAGTCGTCTCAAGGCACTTCACATAATAAACATTTCAATTCACAGTTCATTAAGCCAATCAGAAAAAATGTTTCCTATATAAGGAACCCAGCAGGTTGCATCAAGTCACTGACTAGTGTCAGAGTCTCTACAGCAATCCTCATACTAAGCAAGCATAAAGCGACAGTGGAGAGGAAAACTCCCTTTTAACAGGAAGAAACCTCCAGAGAATCCTGACTCAGTATAAGCAGATAAACTTTATTGTATAACGGGTAAACTAGTAGTAGCACATCCAACGTCAAGGAAAGCAAAAAGTTATTATCAGGAGAGGGAGAATGTTTAAGTGGTTAGCAGCAGTGTGCTAGACGATGACTTTTACGTTCTGTTTCAGCAGGATGGTTACATGTCAGACTGGGATGTTAACACATAATATGAATGTAAACCAACATGTGTTCTCTGTGGGTTCTCCAGCAGCGTTCACATCAATGAAATAAAAACAACTAAATAAGCAAGGATGAGCTCATTTAGCTCCCCTACAGCTCTGATTTCTAGTTTGTTTTCTTCATTGAAAACTAAAAGAATTAGGATTTTTAAAGCAGACAGAAAACTTCCTGTTGTCTGGTTGGGTTCTTTAACCCGACCTTGACGTGAGTGTTTGTATTTGCGTTCTGGTGCAGCTGAGGAGTTTGAGTTCTTGTTTTAAAAGCAGAAACAACCCATGCTCTTTTCCCAATGCTGTAAGTGCTCAGCGGGAAATCCACTCTGTCCCTTTGAACTGAGTACAAAATGTAGTTTCTACTTTTATAAAGCTGAGAAAAGTTCTATCTTTCTACCCTTTCTACACCTTTTCCAGCCTCTTCTTCTGGCTCTTGGAGAGTGCAGATGCTTTTTTCCTCCTCTCCTCCCTATCTTACCCTCAAGGCTCTTTGTCTGTCTTTGGGTGCACGGCTGCTTCTGCATTTTTTCTGGAAACTGAAATTACTAAAATGAACCTGGTCAGTTGATCAATTAACGCGACTGATAAAATTTTTTCAACGATGAGAACGGGAGAAGGGGCTCCCGGATGCCCCTCTGGGACAGAGCCAGATGGGTATATCATGGACTCCTGTAAACAGTGGAACCTGATTTGCCTCTCTCAGCTGTCTGTGGAGGATTCTGAAGACGTCTGGATATTCGTGGTGTTGGTGTCAGGTTTCCTGCTCTTTGGCCTAGGAGGCTTCCTGGCTTACCGGAAAATTAACAAGCTGTCGAGGAATATTGGCGCTCTCCCCGAGCTCAGGGATGGATTACACCGCGCTGTGAATTAACAAACTCACTTAATTGTCGAGATGAATCGTAAGCTTGGAAATTTGGCTGAGATTCATGCGTTGGCACACAAGATGGATGCCGTCAAGGAGAAAGTGGGCGAATCAGCACGGTTGGGATGGATTAATTTACGCCATTATTGGGATTTCGAGAGGTTGAGGACCAAGGAACTTTAAGACAGAGAGGAAATTATCTCTGTCTGGCCCCAAAACAATTTCTAATCTGAATCTGGTGCCCTTGAGCCTGTGAGGCTGCAATGAATACTCCCCCCCTCAGAAGACATGTGGAATGCTGCCGTCGCTATGGCAACTCTGTCTCCTATCCCAGCCTGGGCGGGACTGCGGGCTGTGAAGGCCGCCGAATCGTTCCAGGAGTCACTGTGCTCTCCAAACCTCAACAAACTCCTTCCCCTGTCCACACTGAGTTGACGTGCGCTGCTTATCGTGGCTGCAGGAACTGACGTGTGGAGAGTCCCAAACCCACCACCCCACCTAGTGGACACTTATGCTGTGTGTTGTCTGAAGTCTGCTGCATCTCTGTCTGAGGTGTTTTTTGCATAGCAAAGCTGACCTCCCTGTGGAGGGTAACTCTGAAGTGCCTTTTTCCCTCCACCTGAACCAATCCTCATGTAACCCTCTTTTCTCTATTAAGGTAGCGCGACTCAGGGTTGCGAATGACCACAGTCACCAATTCTTGTCATGTGTCTTGCCCATGTATGTCTGATCTCTGAATTGTGTGTACTGAAACTCCAATTTCCCTCTGGAATTAATAAAGTATCTTTGAATAAAGTGTAAAGGAAAGTCTTCCTTTAGAAATGATGAAACAAACTAGACATTTATTTCCTCTCCAGTCAGCAGCTCTGAAACCGAGCTGGAAGGAAGTTCTAGGGCTGGGCGATATGGCCTCATATCTATATTGCGATATAATCTGAAGCATGTGCGGTAACGATATATGTTGTCTTCTGTTTATATATGTCAAAATGAAATGCTTTTAAATATCCTCATGTGGCAAATATATGTCACTTGAGTAGGGATGGGTACCGAATTCGGTACTTTTTAAAGGTACCGACAGAATTCCATAGCACAGACCGAGCACCGATTCACGTCATTTGAAACGGTGCCTCGTTTCGGTACCCGTCCTTCATAACGAGAACTTGCCAAGACAGCTGCGCGTGCGCAAGAGCGTTATGTCGTCGCTCGCTGCGAGCGAGTTGTAAACAGAGCAGCATGGTAGAAAGAACACACGCTAAAGCTTGGGTCCACTTCACTAAATGTGATGGGTAACTGGGCGATGATGAAACCAGCGACAATGATCTAAGTGAGACATCCTCATCTTAATCTGCTCCGGTAGGTAAATACCGTTTCGCTAATGGTGCGTTCGCTTTCTCCTCGGAACTCCGAATTTCCGACTAGAAAAACATGAACGCGCTCTAAAGTTTGGCTTCACTTTACTAAATGCGACGGGTGATTGGGTGAAGATGAAACCAGCGACAACGATCTAAGTGTGAGGCATCATCGTTTTAATCTGCTCCAGCAGTTAAATAAACTTAAAGATAACGTTAGCTTGATATGTTAGCTTCCATTGCCACAGTTGTTATCAGCTAATGGTGCGTTCGCTTCTCCTCGGAAATTCTAACTTCCCAGTAGGAAAAATCTAATGAAAAAAGACGTCAAAAGGAATGAAGATACACAGTAAATTTAGTTCACAGTAAAGATGTTTGCTTCAGTTTAATTATCAGCTTATAAAACTACAAGAACGATGTTAAAGTACACACAGTTGAATGTTATTTATCGTGATATTTATCAAAAATTGTTATATATTGAGAAAAAATATATTTAATTATAAAAGAGAATTGAAATAATAAACATTCAAAAGTATCGAAAATTGGTACCGTTAAGTACCGGTATCGATTCCTAGGTACCGGGAATTAGTACCGGATTGATTCAAATGTCAAAGGTACCCATCCCTACACTTGAGGCATATAGGCCTCCTCCTCCGCCCACTCCATGCCTGCAGTCACTGCCAATCTGTTGTCCCAATGTCAGCAGGGTGCACATCTTAGTGACGTCATGTGTTATCGCGATATCACGGTATTGCGATATAGCCAAGAACTCTATCATCACCCAATTTTATATCGTTTCTACCTCATATCGTTTATATTGCCCACCCCTAGTTGTGACATTTAGTCGGTGACATTTGCAGATGTGTTTACATGCAGTTTGACACGTTGCAGCTAATAAGCTACCCAGCGTACAAACAGATGGTGGGGGTGCACTTCTCTAATGAATGTCCGGCCACTCCTTCAGCTACATGACATAAACAGGCGCTCGGTGACTGGCGTTAGCATCACCGTCTGCTTCGCCCCTTATGAAGCAATGACATTCTGATCGTACAAAACCACACGCTCCATCTGCCTCAGCGTTCTGATGATGGTGTGAACATGTGAACCTTTCATGTCATCAAAACAAAATAAGTTACCTAAAATCTGTTTTTTCCCTTCAGCAGTTTAGTCGCATCTGTTCCTTCTGCTCTCATGCTCACCATAAGTGAGTAGTGCGATTCCACACCATCTTCTCCTCTTTGAGCGTCAGCCTCTCTATCACTCCCTTGCAGTTATCAACAAACTGGCTGCTCAGGGTGTCCTTCACAGATCTCACCACACCTGCAGGACACAGCAACTCTTACTCAACAAAAACAAGGTCTCCTAAAAATAAAGATCACACTGTAGACTTAAAAACGTGTTTCTGTGTCAAAGGTAGAAACGTTTACCACTTTATTTGTTGTAGATAGCTTCCTGAATGGCCTTAAGCCTGGTTTATGCTTCTCCGTCAGCTCCGCAAGGGACAGACACGCACGGATTGACGGAAGCGTTTTGCTCTCATTCTTCTGCGTCTCCTGGAGTGTTGCAAAGCAATTCCCCTCCAGGACAACAGAGGGCGTAGCGCTGTTCTGTGGTATCCTGTCATGTATCGGTCCAAGATAGTGTGTTTATATTGTGTTTTTTGTGTATATAAGAGACTTTTAACACGGACTTATTTGTCTCTCATTCTCCCACCTCTTCATGCGCTCCCCACCTCTAAACCCACATTTCCTGTCATTTCCGTTCACAAATAAAACGCTTGCTGCGCATCTTTTCACTCCTCCAGCCACGGGAGGATGAAACGTTCATATTTTTAGAGTTTTTTCATGAGGTATTCTTCAAGCTTCTCCGTGTCTGCCGCTAGTTATCCTCGGCTCTCTTTGCAATGGCGGCGCTGTAAACAACAGCGGCGTCCTGACCAATCACAAGCTTGCGTAATCCGTCTCGTTCGATGGATGTTTAAAAAAGTGGGCTCGACTCCGTACGTACTTGCGTGCCTGCTGGAGCCCTACGCAAGGACGGATAATGGCGTTGCGTGTCTCCGCACTGACGCAGACGGAGAAGCATAAGTCAGGCTTTAGAATGGAGAAAAGGAGTTCACATGGCTCAGGATTGATGAGCTAAAGGCTAGTCAGAACACAGCCAAGAACAAAGTGGATTGCTGATGTCTTAAAACATCAATCACCAATTTCATATTTATCCATGTAAATATTACTTCACAACCCTTTATACTACAAACCATCAAGAAGCAGGGAGAATTAAGTTACAGGTTTAAAAAAAAAGTTTGCATGCATCAAGGAAATGTTGTTAAAGCTGTTTTAAGATTCAAAAAAGTCTAAGTGATCTCTCCACTCAGAGTAGTCATTAGCTCGTCAGTTCTGTAGGTGCTAAACTCTGTTTCCCTGAGCAGAGGCTGTTCAGGAACCAGTCTACAAAGAGAGATGATGATTATTTATAACCTTTTCCCCAGTGGTGTCCAAATGTTGCATTCAAGGGATGCAAACAATAAGGCTGCACTTAGGACGCCCTTGCTTTACACAGAAATAAACATCTAAACGTTGTTACTATCCCTCTAACAGCAGCACTACATACCTTCTATGACAGCATACGGCACACATCTCCCAGGAGTTTCAGACAGGAGGGTTTTTAAATCCTGATCAATAGAGACTTTCTTAGCTTCCTATGTTGAAAACAACAACAACAATTAAAACAAAGCAGGCAATACATGGAACACACACGATAGGGCTGAACGATCTATTGTTTTCGGACTGAAATTGCGATTTCAAATAGCACGATCATGTGACCTTTAAAGCTGCGGTTTTGACTGATCCAGGATCTGTGGTGTAACTTAATTTTTTTTTTTTTATGTCCGGGGTTTCCCCGTGTCAGGGCGGCGGGAACATCCAGCGCGGGGGAGGGGGGTGTGTGTGTACCGTCCAGTGCCGAGCCCAAATCCACAGCTGACAGAGCTACACATCTAGGTTATTTTCCCCGTTTTATGTTTCCACACACAGCGCTGCTAGAGCCGATAATAATGGCACCGCAGGTGGGTGAGAGAGAGAGAAGAGAGAGAGAGAAGAGAGAAGAGAGAAGAGAGAGAGAGAGAGAGAGAGAGAGAGAGAGAGAGAGAGAACGTAGGTGAGTAAGGGAGAGAGACTCCTGCATCGGAGCAGGTTCAGGCTGATTTTAAGGCTTGGTTTATGCTTCATCAGCGCGAGTGTGGGGTCGAGAACTTTAGTTGACTTAAAAGTTCAACTTCTCTTTTAAAAATGATTAGAATTTTTCTGATGGCACACGTTAGTTTAAACAAGCTAAAGTGTCAGAGTGTCTCTTTCAACGCGTGCGTCTATCACGGAGCTGACGGCAGCATAAACTAGGTTTTATAGCTGAGTTTTAGTGAGTAAAAACTATCAAACGGCTTTAAAAACCCACACAGCCAGCCTGCTTTGGTAATGCAGGGAAAACTGTGTGCATTTTTGTTATCCAATACATTTGAAAGCCGTTTCTACCTTCAGATTTCCTCCTTGCATTTTTGGAGTAGAACAAGAACTTGTATTTTATAAAGCAACTCTCTAGAAAAAAATGAGAAGTTGCTTCACAAGCACATAAAAAAAAGATATAAATATAACGGGAGAAAATATGAATAGCTGTAACTGTTTTTATTGTATGATTTGATAGTAAATATTAAAGTGAATGATTTGTTGTACTAGATTAGAATCTAGACCATCTTTTCACTTAATATATAGGATGGATTGGCAGGCTAGTGTTGTACTTGTGTTAGAAGAAAATCGTGGATTGAACTGAAATCGCAATTTCTAATAGAAAAATCGCAATTCAATCTTTTCCTAAAACCGTTCAGCCCTAACACACGACAAAGACACAGGACCTGTAAACGTGGCTGACCTTCAAGCGGGTAACTGTTTTGGATCTGCTCCTGTAGATGGAGTAGAAAATGGCCGTCAGTGCAGAGCTAGTGGCTAAAACCACTATCTGTACAGTCGAGGGTTTCCCACTGGGCTCCATCCTCCAGCACTGATGGCTGCTATGAGACAAAACACAGAATTATTAAAATAATCCACCATCACACACAGATGCTTACAGATCTCATGCAAAACTAGAAAAATAAATTGCTCAACTGATGAAACACAACTGTGTGCTTTAACCTCCACATCATTAAGGGTTTGATTATGATTCAAACCAACATAAAGTCAGTTATATGGTTAAACCCAAATGTTTACTACTCAAAAATCAGCTGGAACACCTGAATATGCTCACGAATGTTTAGGTTTTCTGACCTGTTCGCTTGTCTAATAATCAGGGTTTAAATTTGCAAACACATCTTTATAAATACTGGAAAGTCTTCAAAATGAAGTGACAATTAAGGCTGTGATTTGATTAGATTTTTATGACACCTTTGTTTTTAATAAAAAAATGTGAACTCAGCAAAAAAATAGTTTCTGACATATTCTAAAGTTATCTTATGTTTTAACGCAGAATGGATTATAAACGCAGAATTTGTTTGTAACTTTTAGGAAACGGTTCCGCGTTAGTTTTATCTAAAGTGAAAGCAGGTTTTCTTGGTCTCTACGGATATTTTAAACACATTTGTGTATTGGTAAATAAAATAAACAAAAATAACAGAATATTATCTTCATACATGCACAAGAACGTATAAACAAACCAGAAGGGGGAAAACATCAGTAATGAGTATTTAAAACATTCAGTCACAACCGGAAGTTAGCTTAAATCCCCGTAAACATCGCTGTGTGTAAAATAAAAAGCATCACGTTGAAAGTAAATACGCATTTTACTAAGTTTAATACTGTCTGAAGCCTCTAAACACTGTCAACTCCATGTGTGGTTCTATTTGAATAGAGGATGTTTTCTTGTCTCATATACATTAGCTTAGCTAATTTAGCAGTTTGTTAGCTAGCATTAGTCTACAAATGAAAGACATTTAAACACTAGCAATGATTGTAGTTGAGCGACAACACTACACAGCGTTATAATCACTATTAGCTTACTCAAAACAAAGTTACCTGTGTTGTCCTCGTCCTGTGGACAGCTGCTGCGTCTCCAGCTGAATCAGGAACAGGACACAGACGTGCAGTTACTTTCCTAGACAGCAGGTGGCGGTAGAGAACCATTATAAAAACAGCTGGATAAATAAACAGCCATAGACCTGTTCGAGATGAGCCAGTTCTGCGCAGATTCGATCACCGGTGATCGGCGCGCAGTGCATGCCGGTTAGATTTGTGTGTGTGTGTGTGTGTGTGTGTGTTTATTTCATTATTCCATCAATCAAACAGTCAAAGACACAAATATGGAAAAAAAAAAGATGTAATACATACACAAGCGATTAAAAAGAAAATAAACAAAATAAACAGAAATGAAGTAAACACAAGAGTAATTAAGCAAGTACATTAAACAGCGTACAAGTATTCAGAGTTCTAACTGCTTTTTTGTTCTGTACACAAGAAATGATGGATATATACTGTTCCAGTTCTGTTCTTAGCACAGGAAAAAAGGGTTTTTTATTACAGAGTTTAGATTTATGGATATGGAATTTAGCAACAAATAAAATCAAGTTGATCAGAAAGAGTGCATCGTTATCTTTACCACTGCCTCCAAAACAACCAAAAATGACATTTTTATAGTACAGGGAGAAATCATGAGCCAGTTCTGCGCAGATTCGATCACCGGTGATCGTCGCGCAGTGCATGCCGGTTAGATTTGTGTCCAACTTGACGCCAACTTGCTCTGACGTCATGCATACGTAGGCAACGATAAACTCGTGAGATCAAGGCGGCCGCAGATTTTGGAGCAAGACGCTGCAGTTGCTCTCCACCGGCTGCTAAACCTAGAGGATGACGGGAAACGCCTGGCTCTCACCTGATCTACGATCTGATTGGTTCATATTTTGATCCAGAACATGAAATGTTAGTTGTAGCTATAAATCAGGTTTTGATGATGACAACAATATAGGCCATAAAGAGAAATGTGTTTTGTGTTCTTTTGTCACGTTTCCTATAAGCACACTAAACCTACAGCTGATAACCTTTACTTATTATTACAGTCGTGTCTCTATATGCATTATATTCTATCCACAAGCATGTGAGGATGTGTTTCTGCTGCTAACAGACGCCAGAAGTTTACTTGTTCTTTACAATAAAATGTGTAATTCTAACATAGCAGAAATCTTATTGAATTGATTCAGACTTATCTTATTGAATTGATTCAGACTTAAAATGTCCCTGTTTATTATATTTGTGATTCATTTGTTTAGCAGCACATCACACACACAACATGCTCACCCATGTTTTCTTTGTAATAAACATATATTAATGTTCCTGGAAATAGAACATGAACAGCAATATGAGTCACACTCGAACAATTGCTGAGTTTATTGATATCTGAGGACGTTCTCAGTCATCCAGGTCATAGTTATTTTAAAAAAGGTTGTCAAACAGCAACTGGATTATGTTATTTCTTTAACAACATTTAACCCTCTCAGCTTTCTCAGTTTGTTGAGTTCTCAATGTTGAATGGAGACACAGCCACAGTTATTGGTTATGTCAACATAAGCTTAAATGAAGAAACAAGTGTCATGATAAGTTCCACCATCAGTAAAGTTCTACAACAACTAATGAAAATTGTTTATCCCTCTTCTGTCAGCAAATGGATGAACTTTTTGGTCGCACAGCGGTGGGAAGTGCACCACCTGGCACAACTGTTTCAACTCCCCTCTTTCCTAAAGAAGCCCATCCTTCAGCGGCTCAGTCATCACCTGCTGAAACCGAAGCGCAACCTGGTCTGTCATCGGCCATACAGGACGGACAAGCTTCTGGCTCTAAGAGAAGCAAGACTGCTCATCTCCCAGCATTTTTTCAGTCCTATGAGGCCCATGCTGAGCACAGGACCACTGCCTTGGAGTCACTTAGAGGGGCTTTTGGGCCCCCAAATTGCTAAATCCGCCCCTGGTGAGAATGTGTTGGAATTTAAGTTCTGTCCTCTGTATGTATGTGTGTGTGTGTGTGTGTGTGTGTGTGTGTGTGTGTGTGTGTGTGTTTGGATGCTAATTTTGGAATCATTTGGACAAAGAGGGCAAGCTGTTGTACTGTTGTTCAATTCTGATTGCTGTAGTAGCTCAGAATAAAAATAATTACAAAATTACAACGGCTGTTGACAGGAAGGATCTCCAGTAGCGGTCAGTGTTGCAGCCAAACTGAAGAAGCCTCTGACTGAAGACATTCCTCCGTTGTCGGACAGTCTTGAGAAGAGAATGCTCAGGGTTGTCCATAATTTTCTTGATTCTCTGGAGAATCCTTCTTTGCATTATCTCCTCCAGTGGTTCCACAGTCATCTCCAGAACAGAACCAGACTTTTTTATTAGGCTGGTGAGCCTTTTCAGGTCCCTGCTTCTGATGCTGCTACCCCAACAGATCATGCTGAAGAGATTACACTCTCAACAACAGACCTGTAGAAGATCTGCAGCATCTTGCTACAGACATTGAAGGACCTCAGCGTCCTCAAGAAGTGCAGTCTGCTGTGTCCCTTCTTGTAAACGGCTTCGCTGTTCTTTCTCCAGTCCAGTCTGTTGTCCAAGTGAACTCCAATGTATTTGTAATCCTCAACCACCTCCACTTCTTCTCCCATGATGGAAACAGTGTTTGACTCCATCCTGTTTCTTCTGAAGTCTAAAATCATCTCCTTTGATTTGTTCATGTTCAAGGTCAGATGATTGTTTCCACACCATGCCACAAAGCGCTCCACCAGCTCTCTGTACTCAGCTTCCTGTCCACCTCCATGTCATTTTTTTCCTTCAAGGCACTCGAGGAGTACAGATGCTTCTCTCTTTCGCTCCCTTATCTTTTTTCCCAAGGCTCTTTCTCCTGTCTGCCACAGAATGCTTCTCTGAATTTCATCTGAAAAACTCTATTTTTACTAACCATGGAATTGATAAACTGATCATTCAATGCGATTGATACAATTTTTTCAACAATGAGAACGGAGCAGGGGGCTCCCACATGTCCACAAGGGACACACCCGGTGGGATATATGTTGGATTCCTGGAAGGAGTGGAAAATCAAATGCCTCAGCCAGCTGTCCATTGAGGACATCTAAGACGTGTGGATATTCAGCCTGATGATCACTGGATTTCTCCTGATTGGAGTGGGAGGATATCTGTTTTTCTAGAAATTTGGGAAGTCGGGAGCGATTGGAGGGCGACCCGCACCCACGCAAAGCACCGTCCGTGTGGAGACTTCTCAGACTGGGACTGTACAAAAGGCCCCATAGTTGTGAGTTTTCCTTTCTATTCTGTTCAGTTGTTCACCTGTAGTTGCTTAGAGTGACCTTTAGATGTCACCCCACTACTTTGGATGGGAGAGGTTTTGGACAGGTGGATATGTGGGTGAGATCTCATGTGTGTTCGCTCCCAATTACCAGCAAAGAAGTGGTTATTTCGTGAGAAGTGTGCGTTACTGAGCAACGTAAGTCTGTGATGTGTGAGGATGTGCGGATAAAATGTGTTTGTGACTGTAATCGAAGTTAGAGGGAACTGACGATGTTTCTGTTTGTGTCGCTAGCGAGTGCTAAGCTAAGCTAAGCTAAGTTAGGCTAGCTCTCCTGCCGTGTGATTGGGGATAATTGTGTGCTGAGTTAGCTCAGTGGATTTATATATGGGATGTGGGTAATATCTGGTTTATGGTAGCAAAGGGGACGTTAGTTTCTTTCCTACCTGTGTTTCTGTTGATGTACTCTGAGTTACTATTATGAACATTTTAGTGATGTACTATTTTCTTTCTGTTCATTTCACACACACACACACACACACACACACACACACACACACACACACACACACACACACACACACACACACACACACACACACACACACACACCTGTACCTAAACTTGTATGTAACACCTGCTCCTCCAACAAGCCTGTTACCTTTGACTGTGTGGAGGCAATACACGCGTTTAAACCATCCTGGGTGTCTTCAGTATCTTCTTCCTGAATCGCCATCAAGGCCTAGAGTAGTGTTCTGGCCGACACTCCGGGGAGTGGCAGCTACAAACCGGAATCAACACCTTACAGTCCTCCCCTTCTGGGTTATCTACCCAACAGGGATGTTACTCGAGGTGAATCGTAAGCTGGACAATGTTCTAGCTGCTATACCGGTATTAGTGCGCAAAATGGATGTCATCTCGGAGAGAGTCACCGGACTGTATGGACAAGTTTAAAAACCCAAAATTGGCTTCACTGAAGGACTGGAAATGATCAGTTTAAAGACTGAAGGCAGAGAGGAAAATTATCTCAGCCTGACCCAAACAAATTCTTGTTATCTGAATTTGACGCCCTGGTAGCCTTGAGCTGCGAGCAAATACACCCCCCAAGAGGGAATGCAGACAGATGCTGTGAAATCCCGACCGTGGGTTGGTTGAAGCAGCTGGATGATGGCATCTTCAACTCCAACTCCATGGCGATATGCAAACTGCAGCGGGTCCTGATATGTCATAGTTTGCTTATTCAGGTGGACCAACAGGAGTCTCTCCAGGACTTTCAAGATGTGGGATGTCAGGACAACCAGTCTGTAGTCGTCATTGACTGATGGGCGAGTTTTCTTTGGAACTGGAACAAGGCAGGACTGGAACCTTCTCCTGAGCCAGGCTGAGGTTGAAGAGGTGCTGCAGAATCCTACAGAGCTGCTCTGCACAGGCCTTCAGTACCCTGGGGCTGACACCATCTGGACTTGCAGCCTTGTTCCTGTTCAGTCTCTCCAGCTGCCTCTTCACCTGACTTCTAGAGACAGATAGGTGAGAGGGGGAGGTAAATGGGGCAACAGCATCTCCTGACTTGGTTGAAGAAAGATTTATAGAACCAGAAGAGTCCATGACTGCGTTAGAGGACAAAAGAGCCTGCGTGTGACAGGAAAATGTTGGATCAGAGGAGGATGGGATGTCTGATTGGCTGGGGACAGGCGAGGAGGATGCTGGGTTTGTTCCTGAACTGAACCTATTGAAGAACTTGTTCAGTTCATTGGCTGTGTCCAGGCTTCCATCTGTGTAATCCTTCCTCTGCTTGAAGCCTGTGATCTTCTTCATCCCTGACCAGACATCTCTGATATTGTTCCTTTGTAGTTTGTTCTCCAGCTTTTTCCTATGTGCCTCCTTGCTGTCTCTGATCTTGATCTTCAGTTGCTTCTGTATACTCCTCAATAATTCCCTGTCTTCCTCCTTGAAGGCTCTTTTTTTTCTCATTTGGC